GGACATTTTCCACCCCATTTTTTGGGTTTATTTCCCTCATTTTCGGACGTTTTCCACCCCATTTTTTGGGGTTATTTCCCTCATTTTTGGACATTTTCCACCCCATTTTTTGGGTTTATTTCCCTCATTTTCGGACATTTTCCACCCCATTTTTTGGGTTTATTTTCCTCATTTTCGGACATTTTCCACCCCATTTTTTGGGTTTATTTCCCTCATTTTCGGACATTTTCCACCCCATTTTTTTTTATTTTTCACCGACACCCCGGCCCCTCCCCCCCGGATTTTGGGGGGATTTTGGGGTTTTTTGGGGTTTTTTTGGGGGGTTTTGGGGAGTTTTTTTGGGTTTTGGGGGGTTTAGGGCGGTCCCGGGCAGGCCAGGCCGGGGGGGTTTGGAGTTTTTTTGGGGAGTTTTTGGGGTTTTTTGGGTGTTTTGGGGGTTTTGGGGGCGGGGAACGGAAAAAGGCGTTGCCGGGCGGGCGCCGAGAGCGGCCGGAGCTTCCTGCAGGAAATGGGGAGGGGGCGACCCCAGAGACCCCCCCAGAAACCTCCTGAGTGACCCATGGACCCCCACTGCAATGCCCGTGACTCTGGGACCCCTGGGAGCACCGGGAAGCCCCCAGACCCAAACCCTGAGAGCCCTGAAACCCCCAGACCCAAACCCTGAGAGCTCCAGGAGCTCTGAACCCCCCAGACCCAAATCCTGACACCCCAAGCCCTGAGACCCCCAGCCCCAAACTGTGACATCCCAGTGCTGAGACCCCCCAGACTCCTGAGACCCCAGACCCAAACCCTGAGACCCCAAACGCTGAAACCCCCAGACCCAAATCCTGAGACTTCTGAAACCCCCAGACCCAAACCCTGAGACCCCAGGAGCCCCTGAGACCCCAGGAGCCCTGAAACCCCCAGACCCAAACCTTGACACCCCAAACCTTGAAACCCCCAGACCCAAACCCTGAGAACCCAGGAGCTCCGAGACCCCCAGACCCAAATCCTGAGACTTCTGAAACCCCCAGACCCAAATCCTGACACCTCTGAAACCCCAAACGCTGAGACCCCCAGCCCCAAATGGTGACATCCCAGCGCCGAGGCCCCCGCGCTCCTGAGCCCCCAGACCCAAATGCCAGCACGAGCCCCTCCGTTCCCCCAGCCCCGCTCTGGGGTCCCGGGGGATTTTCGGGGCGGGGCGCCCCCGTTTCCTCCCCCCGGGGCACTGAGGCGAATCTCCTGCCGGGCTGATGGCGGCTGCTCCCCAAACCCGGGGGGCTCCCCCGAAACGGGGGGTCCCGAGCCCCCTCCTCATCCTCAGCCTCCTCCTCCTCCTGCCAGGTGTGGCTGGGGGGGGGCTGGGTGCTGGGTCTGGGGGTTTCAGGGGTTTGGGTCTGGGGGTTTTAGGGTTCTGGGGTGTCGGGGTTTGGGCCTGGGCCGTTTTTGGGTCTCGAGGTTTGGGTCTGGGGGTTTCAGGGGTCGGGATTTGGGCCTGGGGTTTTTCAAAGTTTCTGGGGTCTCATTTTTGGGGTCTTGGAGGCCTTGAGGATCTCAGGTTTTGGGTCTGGGGTCTCCCAAGGATCTCACTTCCGGGGTCCCAGGTTTTGGATTTTGGGGGTTTCAGCATTTCCTGGGTCTCAGGAATTGGGTCTGGGGTCTCCCAGGGATCTCACTTCTGGGGTTTTGGGGGCATTTCAGAATTTCCAGGGCCTCAGGATTTGGGGGTCTCGGGGTCCCTCCCGGGGGGTTCCCCGCGGCCGTGGGGACCCCCAAACCCGGGGGGCTCCCCCGAAACGGGGGGTCCCGAGCCCCCTCCTCATCCTCAGCCTCCTCCTCCTCCTGCCAGGTGTGGCTGGGGGGGGCTGGGTGCTGGGGTTTGGGTCTGGGGGTTTCAGGGGTTTGGGTCTGGGGGTTTTAGGGTTCTGGGGTGTCGGGGTTTGGGCCTGGGCCGTTTTTGGGTCTCGAGGTTTGGGTCTGGGGGTTTCAGGGGTCGGGATTTGGGCCTGGGGGTTTCAGAGTTTCCGGGGTCTCATTTTTGGGGTCTTGGAGGCCTTGAGGATCTCAGGTTTTGGGTCTGGGGTCTCCCAAGGATCTCACTTCCGGGGTCCCAGGTTTTGGATTTTGGGGGTTTCAGCATTTCCTGGGTCTCAGGAATTGGGTCTGGGGTCTCCCAGGGATCTCACTTCTGGGGTTTTGGGGCATTTCAGAATTTCCGGGGCCTCAGGATTTGGGGGTCTCGGGGTCCCTCCCGGGGGGTTCCCCGCGGCCGTGGGGACCTCAGAGGTGGGTGGGGGTCTCTGGAGGACCCCTCCCCCCCCCAGCCACCTGGGCCTGCGAGTCCCCCGGGACCCCCCGGACCCCCCCCAGCTTCCTGTCCCCAAGGGAACCGAAACTGGGGGGGCGGGGGCTGCGGGGTCCGGGTGAGACCCCCGCCCACTCATGGGGGGCTGCGGGGATCCCCAGGGTGAGACCCCCACCCACCCACAGGGGGCTGCAGGGTCCTTGTGAGACCCTCACCCACTCATGGGGGGCTGCGGGGGTCCCCAGTGTGAGACCCTCACCACAACAGGTCCCAGAGTGAGACGCCCGCCCACCCCCGGGGGTCCGGCAGGCTCGGCGCCCCTCTCTGATCCCCCGTGTCCCCCCCAGGTCCCAGTGTGAGACCCCCCACCCCCGGGGGGCTGCGGGGACCCCCAGGGTGGGACCCCCACCCACGGGGGGGTTGTAGGGACGCCCAGGGTGAGACCCCCACCCCTGGCAGGGTCAGCGCCCCTCGCTGACCCTCTGAGCCCCCCCAGGTCCCAGTGTAAGACCCCCACCCTAACAGGCTCAATGTGAGACCCCCACTCACAGGGAGGCTGCATGGTCCTTGTGAGACCCCCACCCACTCATGGGGGACTGCAGGGACCCCCTGTGTGAGACCCCCGCCCACCCCCGGGGGTCCGGCGGTGTCGCTGCCCCTCCCTGC